ATATTCATTGTTCCACGTTGTAAAAGAATACCAACACCCATTGGAAATAGATGACCACCATCATACAATGTACAATTTCTAACAATGATATTTTCTATTAATTCTTTATATTCATTTTTATTTGTTATTCCTATTCCTATTCTTACACCACCTGCTCCTAAATCATACATTCGACTATTTTCAATAGTAATTTGTTTACATTGTCGATCTATTTGTATTGCATAACCAGCTGTATGTGCAATTTCTATATTATTAAATTTAATTTCCGTTGAATTACGTAAATAAACAGCAACTATTGATTTATCTAAATAATCAGCAGCTGCTCGTCCATCAATAGGAATACTTTTATTAATTGTAGATATCATCCATGAACTATATTCAATTCCAATGAAATTCCATTCCATTTGATAAACATTTATGAATGATAAAATTGTTTCAAGAATTGGTAATATAATAATTGTTGTTTGTAGACTTTCATTTTTTCGTGGATGATAATATAATATTTGTGTTTTTGAATCAAAATAAAATGAACCTTTTTGAATTAACATTCCTTCATAAACATTTTCAAGATAAAAACGTTGACCTGATTGTTTAATAATTGATGTATTACCAATAACTGATAAACATCGATTAGAAAAAATTATAGTACGATTTTGTGAAAATATTTTTGAAAAATAATGACGTGATGTTGTAAATGAATGATAAATAATAAATTCAGTTGTTGATGTTGAACTAAGTGTTATATTATCAAATTGATTTTTACGATAAATAAAACTTTGATAGGCAATATCTGTACGATTATCAAGTCCTTTTTCATAAGTTAAATAACCTGTGACAGGTAAACGACTACGTATAGCACGATGACCATTAACAAATAATTGAGTTACTGCAGATAAAGAACCAGGAACAACAATATTCCAGATCTTTACAGAACAAAAAATTGATTTTCATCTTTGAAAATCTTCTACATACTTACTCCTTTATTATTAATCCAATTAGTTAAACGAATACCACCACTGATTATTGGAAAATCTAATTCAATGAAATATTTTTTTCTTGATAATTGAATTTTATTTCTTTCATTATATGTCATTGTTGTATAAATTGTTAAATGATCACGCTCATCAAATATCAATGTATAATTTTTGACAAAATGATAAGTTGGATAAAGTGCTACACGTCGATATGATAATCGAATAATTGTACGAAGATAATCACGAGCTTGTTCAATTGTTGAAAATGGATATTCTAATGAACCATCTTCTCGACTTGTTGTTAATGAAGATGGAACAACATAAATTGAAAATGAAGCAAATGTTAAATTAATCATATAAATGAATGAGATCAAATAAGTAAATAGATGCATTTTCAGGTCAACAAAAAACAAGAAAATATTTCTAATGACGAGCGTTATCTGACAAATATACACAACAAATATGATAATAAAAGCATATCTATTTATCAAAGTAACACAATGTTAAGTGCTTTTCTTTTTTTAATATTCGAATTCAGAAATATTTTTAATGCATCTTCATTGATTATGATAAACAAATTAAAAAAAAACTTAGCTAGCAATTCACTAGATTTTAATAGGATGTGGTGAAATTAACATAGTATTCATTCATATTTATTAGTGTAATAGTGACCACTGTCTTTCATTTCTAATTCGTTTTATTTTCATGTTATCTGATTGTCCATATATTTAAATAGAGAATTCGTAAATCATTTGCAATGTTTTATCCAGATTTTCTCTTCCGGAGAGGCGAATATCTATTTTTGAGAACACAGACACATAGTACATGGAAGAACCACAAACTTCGAGAAAATTAATTCGATCTGTGGAAAGACGTCATCTCCACGCTGAATAAAACACTGACTATATGCACAGAAACTATTTGATTTTTCTTTATTTCATTCTTAAATATCACACTTATCAAATGACACAAATATGTCACATCATCATCCAGAAGTCTATGAAATTGTTGGTATTTAAATATATTTTTATGAATGATTAATTCAACTTCCTGTTGGTTTATTTTAATTTCATCTCGGAAATAATTTTGATATACTTGCCTTTTGTTCCTATGATAGTTTTTAGCGTAACCTTCCTTTGCTTCACGTCGTTCCTTTTTACTTTCTATTAAGCATGGATAAAGCTTCAGAAAGCAAGGTATTTGGTGCTTGTTTTTCCTGGTATAGGCAATATTTATAGAAGCTATGTTTGTTTCATATTATATTACTTTTCTTTTACTTAGATCACGTAAATTTCAACATCATCAATTGCTTGATATGCAATCTTTGCAAGTTTACTTAAATAAGGTGAAGACTCATATTTCTTTATTAATTGTCTACAATTTAAAACCATAAACACAACTGATCATCATTAATAAGTCTTCAATACATATTCGTGTTTCGTTATTTCATTCTCAATAATGTATAGTTTACATAAAAATTTCAATTCTTTTTTGCTAAAGATTATTTTTATTGTCAATAGAAAGAGATTCTCCTTATAATTTTAAGATAAAAAAAAAAAAGAATTTCGATTTGAGAAATTTGTTTTTTATTAAGAAAACTTTACAAACACTAATATTTAACTATCATATTTATTCTCGAATTTGTTACTACATAGATGTTTATAAATCAAATTGAAATAATTATGTTCATATCTAATTGATATATAAGTCTATAATATATTCTATCAACTAATGAATTCAGACAAATATATTTCAATTAGGAGAATAAAGAAAAAAATAAATAATACAAAGTTCAAGGAAAGATAAATATAGACATGAAAATAAAAGAATTCTACCGGCTATAATCTTTTTAAAATGTCAATGTCGAAAAGACAAAAAAAAAGTATATTTAATGTACATATTTAAAATCATTGCTGATAATCATATTAACCATAAATCGACTCGTCACTATAAACAACATAGAGAAATTTATCTTCATCCGCCTAAAATAACATGAAATTGTATATTTATATTTAAATTAAAATAAATTAACTAACATGTTCTTGATAAAGAGCACCCATTGTCATTGATGTACTCGGAATAGTCTATAAAAAAGAAAATCAAATCAAATTTTATTTATATCTTACTGTCTAAATTCAAATTGAATCTGAAGTAAATCGATCAAATCAAAGACAGTTAGAACTTGAACAAATAAAAACTTTTCTTTTTCCTCATCTCAAAAAGTATGGTTTATATCAAATGTCTATAGAAAATTGTTTGTCAATATCGTAAATTATAAAATACTTCTAATATTGATTGTTTTGTTGATTTTAAATCAGTTTGTTCCGAACAATGAAATCAAGTTTTTATAGATGATTTAAGAAGTATCACAATGATTTAGAGATATAAACTTTATACTTGTGGATCGACAAATAAATTCACAAGCATCTGTATCACAAAACAATGTCCATGTAAAAAAACCAGGAATTTTTTTTCTTCGATTATACGTTATAAGATCTTATAGAAATACGAACTAATCAATTAAAATAATATGAATTGTAAATTATTCGATATAAACAATACTTTTGGAAAGGACAAAAAAAAAACAAACTCTTCATTTATTCAAACATTGACATTCATTCGAATAAATTCATAATTAGATCAAATTTTAATTTTAACCCTAACATCTATATATATACACTTGTGGGCAAAAGTCTTCCGCCCTTCATTTTTTTCTGCATCGAACCTCTTTGGTTTCAAGTAAATGTTGGTTACAAAAATGGCTTAAATATTGTATTTCAGTGTAGTGTATAATTAATTACGATCTGCTGTAATGAAGAATACATGCCATTCAATACAATCAGTCAACACTGCAAATGAATTGATTGATAGAAAAAAATGATGTTGGAAGAAGACTTTTACCGCGTGATATATATATCTAAATAAATACATACATTATTGACAAAGAAAAAAAGTGCATCTTCTGGTCGAAGTTGAATACGTTTACGAATAAGAAAATAAAATTGACCAACCTAAAAATATTATCATAAACAAAACATAGAAAAGACAAAAAAAAAAAAAGAGCCATTACTGTAAGATCATTTGGTACTAAATATTTCTTTGATGGAAGATCCGAAATACGTGAATTTGGTGCACGTTCAACAATAACTGCACATCGATCCGGATATTCACGACGAATACGTTCGCCTAAAAAATTTTCAAATTTTTTTGTTTTATTTTTTCATTCGTCATTACCTTCAGCACGGCGACTTTCATAAGGATTATTAGTTTTAAATTCCCAACGCATATTTAATATCTAGAATTAAAATGAAATAAATAAAATCTATAAAGCAATATTTGACAGTGTAATAAAAGCAAGTGTGCCAGATATCGATTGAGATCGATTATCTTTGTCTGAAAAATGTTTTTGTAAACATAATTTTCTTTTTTCTATACCACCAAAAAGAATAAATTCACTTCGAGCATATATTAATGAATAATAAAGTGATGAACGTGATGGACTACCAAATACAGATGTAGATTTTGATGGTAACCATGTAACACATGGATTTAATGAAAATAAATTTGATATATCAAGTCGATACATTTGAAAACCACTTGATATATCCATCATATTATATTTATTATTTATAAGTGGTAATTGTAATCGTTTATGTACCATTGAATAACGATTTGTTTCATCATTTTCATCACTTGAACTACTTGGAAGAGATGATGATGATGCAAGCAATAATTCTTCGCGAGATTTTTTATCACAATGAGAAAAATCATATTGACTATATGTATGACGTTCATTTTCAGTTGGATGCCGTCTTAATCGACCAAATGTTATTAATATTTGTGATGGTAATACCATACAGAATGATAAATAAGATAAATCATCATTACTTGGTGCAAAATCATTTGGATATTGATTATTAACTGTTATTTGTGTCCATTGATTTGTTTGAAATGAAAAAAGCCATACATCACGACAAACACGAGTTAAAGATGAACCTCCAATAATTAAAATATTTTCAGAATTTAATGTAAATTGAGAATGACCTAAAATCAAGAAAATATTTAGAGTATACCAAAAAAAGAGTAGTAATGGAGGTACTTCTATACCATATAGAATCAAGTAATATTATAATAATAAAATTTCGAGAACAGTTGTTTTTTATGATATGTGACAATAATACTTTTAAGTATTTGAAATGATTATTGATAGAATGAAGATAGACAATTGTGTTTTGTCAACATTAGAAAAAAGAGTATGAAGATTCATCGAATCATATATATAATTGATTTTTCTGAATAGTTTTTAATCGATCTTCTAAAACAATGTCGTTGTTATCAAAGAGAAAATGACTTTGAATTTCGAGTAGAATACTTATATAACTTCTAATTGATAAAATCTAAACATATGAGTTTTGTAGATCTTCAATTGACAGTTCGAATGCATATTTAATAATTAAAAACTCATTGTAAACACCTCAAAAAGTAGGTTTATTTTCAAAAAGCTCGATTGAAAATAAATCAGATGAAAAAACTCATATAATTTGATGCATCTTCATTTCTCTTCTTTTATAAAAGTGAAATTTGCAATTCTCTATCTTTGTTCCGTCAGAAATTATTCAAAAATGTACACATCCATCTTTTTTCTTTGTATATGACTTCAACATTATCATCAAATATCGTAATAAGCATCTCTTATCGAAAATTTATCATTATGACATTAGTTGAAGAATGATGAAATACTAGAAAAATATAGAACACTATCTTTATAATCAGCACATATTAAAAGAAAATTCCCACAATCATTCTATACAATATTAAAATGTCTTCGTCGCTACTTTTAATACACTCTAAGTAGTTTTAGAAAATCCGATCTAAAAGTAGTGTTGAATTATAACGGTAAAAATTTGGGCCTTTCTCTCTCCTCTTTCAACAGACCATGACAAATGTAATCATGAAAATGTCGCACAGACTGTGATAGAGGTAACCATGAGAAAGTCACAGACCGTGACGAACGTTATTGATATACAATTACAGATTGCGTAAAAAGAACGTTTTGATAGAATATATGTGAACTACATTCTTATTACATTTCTGAATGATTAAGTAAAATAATGGTGAAGAAATGTGCCCCAAAATAGATAAAATAAACCAATCTTCTTGTAATTAAAAACAACAGCTACAACGTGTTTTGCAAGGTTTGTACTAAAAGTTTCTTTATTTCTAAATGTATTGGTTTTTTTTAATTTTTATTAACTAACCTTTTCTTGGTTCTGGTTTAGTTCCATTAACATGAATCATTGTCCAAGTATTTGTCCATTGCCATAAATCATTTGTTCTTTGAGGTGTTGATTGTTGATATTGATCATCTATTATCATACAACCACCAAAAATAATCATTCGTTTTTGATTATTAATATTAATAATTGATGCACTATGATCACAAATAGGTCCAGGTTCATTTAAATTTTTATGTAAATTCCAAGTATTTTTTTCTAATGAATATGAATGAAGTTCATGATGAAGTTGTTCTCGCATATGTATATCATCAATATAAATCATTGAACGACCACCAAATAATAATAAATTTCCTTGTTCATCATCAATAAATGTTGATGAACATTTTGGTGGTGGATAACTTCCGGTTGCTAAAATTCTTTCCCAACTAAAAAAAAAAAAAAGTTAAATATTTCAAAATAAAATAAAAATAAAAATTTACTTTCGTGTTGATAAATCTAAACACCAAAAATCATTAAGTGATGTAGCCATATCACGATTACCACCAAATACATATAACATTCGTTTTGAATCAACATAACAAACTGAATGTGAAAAACGTGGTATTAAATTAAATTTTTTTGGTGGATCAATTAAATGCCAATGAATAGAAACTGGTGATGTTGATAATGATAAATTATTATAAAAATTGTTCATACGCCAATCTTTAGTTACACGTCCAAGTCTTTCCCATTGTCGACAAACAAGTCGAATAGATGAATAATCTCTTTACAAAAACAAAAAAAGTATACACATTTAATAAACCTTTTTTGAAAGATAAATGTTTATTTTTACTTATAAGGTAAAAGATATCGAAAAATACGTAATAAAATTTCTTCGGGTAGATCTTCTATACATTTTGAATAAGTACAAATTTCATCATTATTGCTCATTATTTAACTATGAATATTATCAATAAACGATAAGCAGCTGATGAGTTTAATGACTGAGAAAGCACATGATCAATATATTTTATTGTATTTAATGCAGTCATGCAAGTAGATTTCTTCTTGTTGGATAAAATATTCTCCAATGGAAAGTTTTTATTGAGTTTTGTGTTTATTTATTTATTTCGTCCTTCGTTTTTTTGACGTCCATTTTGTTGTTCGCCGCCTTTTTTTTTCTTCTTCTTCTTCTCTTAATAAAGAATATACTGATCGACAAAATAAAAGTGCTATTGAATAAAATTGCTATTGAGTATGTATATGTTTTATATATTATTATTTTTTCTCCAACATTTCATGTTTATTTATTAGAGAAATTGAAGTTTTTATCTTTGTCAATAAAAAGATCTTTTACATTGTAGACATATGTGGTTTTTTTCCAAGTAGAGTCATTTTTGTTTTGTTTTCATTCATTGAAAAACTTGCAAACGAAATTGTCAGGTTTTTTTCTTTTTTTTTTCTTCCTTCTTATTATTAATTTATGTTACAATAGAATAGTTCACAATGGCGAACATTTCTTGATTGTTCGAGAAGGATGAAAATGATTTTATGCTATTTTGTCGAATACCCACATACAATAGTTAGGGTTTGTTTTCCAGATTGACAATATCCTATATACTAATTGGTAGAACCCATCAGACAATGTGGGTGTTGCAATGTCGTTGATCTGGAAAAATACCGAAATAAGAATTTTTTCTTGCTCGGTAGTAAATAAGAAAAAAGACAAGACATATGTCTATTCAAAAATAGTCATTATTAGTAGAATTTTCTATTGTATATCATTTATTTTTAGATTAATTCTACTCTCTTTTTTGTAAATATATATATCTATCTGGTAAGTTTTTCTATAACTATCGACAGACAGATAAGTATGTGTTTTACAATTTGTTGGGCAATCTAGTGCAATCATTTGTTTAATAAAGGTTCATTAGCTCAATTATAATAGCATTGCGGCGTGAAGGTTTTTTCATTGATTATCAAGATCATTCTCGAACGATTCAAGGTAAATTCGAAGAGCAATCAATTGTGACAAGGATGATCATTGTCAGACTCGACGTCACCATAAAAAAAGAGACATTGTCGATCTCTTGTCGCTTTTGTTTTCTTTTTTTTCTTTCTTTTTCACATACATAATGCACATAGTTAGTTAAGCCAACGAATAAGACGTGTTACGAGACTCGTTTGCTTTCGGAAAGGAAGAAGAAGAAGAAAAAGGATATGTACAATAGAGTATATTAGACGAGAAAAAATGTAACTACTACGCATTGAGAATAAGACTTCTGTAAATAATTGTTTTCTTTTATTTGATTGTTGGTTTTCTTTTTTTAGTAAACAAGAATAATGACTGATTTTTATGAAATACTCGAGGTCGAAAAAACGGCTACAGAAGATGAAATAAAAAGAGCGTATGTTATATGTATAGATAATAATCTTTTAATTGAATATTGTATTCTATTTTAAGATATCGTCGGTTAGCTCTTAAAGTAAATATTTTGTTAAATTTCTAATATATATTCGAAATAGAAATTTCTCTTTTTTAGTGGCATCCAGATAAAAATCTTACAAACAAAACTCAAGCAGAAGAAAAATTTAAATTAATTTCTGAAGCTTATGAAGTTTTATCTGATAGTAAGTAGAAAAAAAAAAAGAAATTTTTTTTGTGTTTTTTAGAAAAATTAAGCTTTTATTGCATTTTAAAAGCAGCATCAGCAATAGTCGTTTCTTTTTTTTCCCCTAATAAAAAAAATATATATAAACAGGTCGTGGACGATTTTTATATGATCAATTGGGTCCATCAATAATTTATAGTGAAAGAACAAATGAAGAACTTGAAGCATTATTTCGTGCAGTAGTTATTGATCAAGAATTTTTAAAAGTCTGCCAAGAACAATATAGAAAAGATGCAAATTATAATCAAGATATAATATTATCATATATAAATCCAATAAATCAATATGATTATGAAGAAATTGCATTAGGTGATAGTGAAAATCAATTAAAAGGAAATGTTGTTCATGAAATAAATATGTCAGTTCATTATGATTTTCAATATGATAAAAATAATTCAGATTTTAAATTTATTAAACGATCTTTTAATATTCTTCCAGAAAGAAGTGAAAATTTAAAAAAACGAAATCGTTTTTCAAATTTAAATTTATCTAATGATATTGATCGTTTTGTTAAAATGCATGATTATGTTCGTCATTCACAACAACAACAACAACAACAGCAACAACAACAACAACAACAACAACAACAACAACAAGGTACAAAAATAAATCACAAGAAAAAACCTCCTTTAAAACGACGACAAACATTGAACGATCAGTATAGACGAGCAACAATAAATGAACCACAACAATTAGATTCATTTGTTTTAACTCAACTTGTTGAACAACAATTAGAAGCTGCTCATCGTACAACTACTATGAATAATTTTAAACCAATTAAAAATCAACCTATTCGTATACAACCAACTAATCGTGCTAAATTTGTTCAACCACCAATATTAATTTCAAAAACTGAAGAAAAATCTTCTCGTCATCGTATTGATCATATTGAATTTCCAAAAACAACTTTTGCTCGTCCTTTACATACATCATTTACATCTTATAATGATAAACATATTTCTCAATCAATTCTATCAAAAAGAGAACGAGAAAATCTTTTATTTCTTAGTCAACAAGGTATTCTATCATCAGCACGTGGATTTACTTTACAAAAAATTCCAGATTATGTTCAATCAATTGAATTACTTGAAGTTCCATATATACAAAAGAATGGTAATGAATCTCGAGATTTTAAAGTTATTGGTTATGAAACATTTGATCGTCGTCCAATTCCTCCAACTTCTTCTCTTCGTCGTACAAAATCAATGAAAAATATCAAAATATCAAATGAAATATCAAATAATAAACATTCACCAACAATTGTCAATAATATAAGTTCACCTAATTTATCAAAATTAACATTATCATTAAAAAATATGAAACATGATATATATCATAGAAATGAAACAGCAATTAATAATAAACAAGTATTCAAAGAAAATAGTAAAGGTAGGAATTCGTAGAAATAAAACATTGGGGAAATTGTAGAAGAATTAGAATTGACGACTATTGCTGCTGCTGCTGTTAGTATATTTTATTAATCATGCTCTTAACTAATTGATATTAATATCCATTGGATTTTTTCAAATAAATTGCAGAAGATAAACGTCGAAAATATGATCAATTGGGTCGAGCTGGTTTATCAAATGGTCATGGTGGTGGTGGTGGTGGTGGTGGTTTTTCATCTAGCAATGTTTATGGAGGATTTTCAGAAGATTTTCTTAATCGAACATTTCATTTTCATAATCCATTCGATATTTTTGAACAATTTATGTCACATTTTGGTATGGACGATGATTTTGGTAAGTCAAGATGTTTTATTAAATTTTCTGTGTTTTGAAAACAATAAATTAATTTATAGTTAGTTAAGTGCGAGCTTGCTTGCATACATTGCTTTTTTTTTAGAAATATGGCCACGTCATATCTTTTCTTCTGGTGAGCATACCAGAAGAATAAATACAATTTTTTGTATTTATTTATTTTCCCTAAATGATGCTTGCATTGCGCATGAGGTGATTGGGAATGTTTGACATATCTATAGTTAAAACATTTAGGAATAGAAGTATTGATGTTAAGTAATTGAAATTAATTATTATTTATAAATAGGTTTTGGTATGCATCCATTTGCTGATTTACAACGTCAGCGTCGTAATCGAGATCCACATTCCTCCACATCACGACGTGCACCACAACAAATGGCTTTGTTCGATAATTTCTTTTCTCCAATGAGAATGTCTTTATTCGATCATGATTCATTTGCCGGTGATTTTGGAAGAAATGATATTGGAAATATTTCATCATTTAACATATCATTTGGGTTTGTATATATAAATATATCTATATGGGTGTCAAAAAATTTGTCATTATGTATTTTTAGAGGTGGTGGTTCTCGTCCAATATCGAAAAAAACTTCTAAATCCACTAAAATGGTTAATGGTCGACGTGTAACTACAACACGGTAAGAAAATTTTTTCAATATTATTTTTATTTAAAAAAATCTTTTCTAGAGTTGAAGAAAATGGTCAAATAACAGAAATAATTGAAGAAGATGGTCAAATAAAATCAAAAAAAATCAATGGAGTTTTACAATCGATTAAATAAATAATTTACAATGAATAGAGCATTCGCATTCCAACACATACACATACATTAAACTCTTTCTATACATAAAATATATTCATGAATTTTCTTTTTTGTATGGTTTATGTGTTGTTGTATCGAAGAATTTTCTTCTATTTTTCACGAAACGAAAGATTTTTCTTCTTTTCTTTTCTCTTTTTTTTTTTGCTTTTTCTTTGTTTTTTTGATTACGACTTAAGTGCTGATGATATCCTATGCTCATCTTTTTCATTTGTGCGTCTCTGTGTGTGTGTGCTTAGTATGCGAGATATTTATTAAAATGAATTGGAAAAGATAAGCACTAAAATAAAGTTACAAAAAAAAAAAGAAAATTTTTGAAAACTTCTTCATTTTAGAGAAGAAATAATGAGTCATTCAAATGAAAAAGAATTAATAGGTGGAACACATACTCAAGATTTATCTTTATCTAATGAATTCTCAGCAGAAAAAATACAAGATTTACAAGCTGCTTTTAGTATTATGGATACGCAATCGAAAGGTTTTGTAGGAGCTGAAGATATTATTCAAGTAGCTGAAGCTGCAAGTATTAAAAAATAAACATTTTTCATTTTTTATTTTCTTTTTATTATTATTGTTCAATTTTTAAAGATATGATATTAGCTGAAAATGAAGCACAATTATTACTTGGTTCAGCTGATGAAGATCATTCAGGTGGAATTGATATGAGAGAATTCATATCAATTATGACAACACCTATTAAACCAGAAGATTTAGAAGATGAACTTCGTGCAACATTTCGAGTTTTTGATAAAGATGGAAAAGGAACAATTAATGCTAATGAGCTTAAACGATTTGTTCGAGTAAGATAAGAAATTAAAAGAAAAAATTATTCATTTAAATTATCATTTTTTTTTTTAAATTATATTTTAGTTATGGGATAGGGAATTAACAGAAGATGAAGCTGATGATATGATTGGTCAAGCTGATCCACATAGAACAGGTGTAATTAATTATGATGCTTTCGTACAATTTCTTCTTCATACATAAGATAAAGAATAATCTAATCAATTTAGTTTTTGTTTTTAATATATAATATTAATGTATAGTTTTCATAATGTATTTCTCTAATTATTTTATATTTAGACTCTTTTACAAATATAGACTTCATACAGAAATTTAAATATCTATGAACAATAGACAAATAGAAAAAAACATTTATGAAAAATCTATTAAATTTTTTCTAGAATGATAAAATAGAAGTTTAGACAAAAGAAAAGATATGAGAAAATTTACATATGAATTCTATCAATTGATCAAGATTTAAAATATTATTGTAGTCTTTTGTTGCTTAATTATCAAATTCAATTTCTTATAAATACTTATTACAAAATCTTTATGAATAACCGGTTTTCGGTATTTATATTTTAAATATTTGGTATATCTCTACTAAATATTAATATTTTCTTTTACCTACAAGAAATTTTTAGCAGAATTCTTGAACGATTAAAATATACAACACGATGAAGCTGCTGACATTGTCAAAGAAAGAATTCAATAATATAAGTTTCAGTTTGTGAATTACTACTTACTGTTAATGCGTGTCAACGACGAATGATGATAATCGTAATATATTATAATGATTGTGAAAGAAGAGCAGAATTCGGTCTCACGAATATATGTCATTGTCTATGAGAAAAGAATGACAATAATCAAGTATTTGTCAACGACTGTGATGATCTCTTATTAATATCTGTCGAAGTTTGTGATGGATGGTTGGTAAAGTGTCTCTAATGTTTAAAGGAGAGAGATCAAATGTCTATCCCTATACTTTGACACTCATTTTAGATCGTATTTTATAAAATTTTTATATTTCTTTATAGGTAGAAAAATGAATAAGTCAATGATGACGAAAATCAAAACATCCATTATAGGAGTAGTCCTTTAGTATTCCTTTATTTTATCTTTATCCTTAATCATAAAGAACAGTAAAGATAAAGAGTCACCCCTAATCCATTATACGTTGTCGACCATTTTGTTTCTTTTCAATCAGATTTTATTACATTACATAAACAAATAACGGATGGGCCGTAAGTTTTGAGACAAACTATTTGTTTACTTTTGGCTTCCTTGATAATGTTATCGAGAAGTCAAAAGCTCTGGATTAGAACCGGTATATTATGCATTTTCCAAATATGGCCTGAGAAATTTTATCGCAGTTATTATTCGAAAATAGTGTGGTGATCTTTGAAAGACCCAACAAAAAAAAGAGTTTGGATGGAAAGTGTGAATATTCGAGTCAGTTGTTTTGTCGAACGGACAGATTTCTACAAAATTTTATATCGAACTAAGCTCTTGGCTTTTACCAAAATGAAACTATAGGCATGTTGCCAAGAACTTCCTTCTATATAAAACGTCTTGTGGTTAACAAATCAATTTTTCAAAAATGAAAATTGAAGTGATCTGTCGAAAGAAATACTTCAATAGTACATTTTGTAGGGCAGCTTCCAGTGTCCGACACGGGTCGGGTCCGGGTCACGAAAAACATACTTGACCTCAGGCCAGGTCGGGTCGGGTCACAAAAGTTTTACGAATTCCGAACTTCACATAAGAAAAGCAGCAATTTTAGATGAGATAATCATTTCTTTATTTCGAATACCTATAGAATATGTATCGATTTACTGAGAAGATTGTCAATGTCTGAAAAAAACTCACTTTTATTGGTCAAAAACTATCCCTCACCTCGGGTCGGGTCACAAAAAAAGTGACTCGTGTCGGTCACTGGCAGCTTCTGTTCTACAAGCTCATATATTAATAAACGTGTTAACATTTACTTTCGTATTGCAATAATGAAAGTACAAAAGTGTATGGAACAATTTTCCGTCTAAACTATTAAGAAAATTTCTAAGTCTACCTTGGAAAACAGCATCAAATTTTGGTTATAATCTATAGTTTTTGAGTCTTCGTAAATATTTTCAAGGGGAATCAAAAATAAACAGACATTTTATCTCAAAACTTTCGACTTATTCGTTAATCATTTTATTTCTCTCAAAAATAGTTATATGAATAAGAACAATATGTCTTTTATTTTTTTCTCTTTGCTGTATTCAACTTTAGTTTTCATTTTTTCTTGTATATGTTTTAATATTGCTTTTCAAGTTCATTAGGTACTTGTTTTTTTGTCAATATACTTCAATGTTTTGATTCATGACATTGAAAAGCGACACCAGAAACTTGATCAGTTCCTTAAGTATTTTTGTGATTCCAATGTCAATAAACTTATCGATGAAAGTTCATTTTGTTTTTTTTTCTTTCTTCCGTTGTATAACATTTGTTTTTATTCTATTTGATTATTTTCCATACAAGCAAACATAATATGTCACGAAAAATAACACAATTTGTTATACTTCCAAACGAAATTATTTGTAATATCTTCGATTTTCTTACTACATTTGATATTCTTCGAGCATTTACTCAATTAAATCATCGATATAATAATCTAATTCAATTCTATATTAAGAAAATTGATCTTACGAATGATTGGCAAGGAAATCATCATCAACTACAATGGATTTGTCGATCGATTCAAATACTCAAAATTGATCAACGTCATATCTATTATTTATTCAATTATCAATTTAACAAATTACTTTCACTTAGTCTTATCAATGTCATCAACTGGCAGAATGTAATGTTGTATACAAACTTAAAATGTCTATACATTTGGTTCGATGATTGTCATAATTACTACTCAACAATGGGAGTCATTCCTCAAAATGTTCTTCGATTTTCAACAAATACTCTGTTGACGGCGAATACTTTTCACATAAATCTTATTCATTTATCTTTACATGTATATTCTCTTGTTCATTTAGTTGAAATTATTAAGCGTACACCTAATCTACAACATCTTTGTGTCACTCTTTGGTCGTATCACACCATATTTTATGCTTCCATAGATGATGAATTTAAATATTTCGAAATGTTGACATCAAGTTTTTGTTGTTTAACTATCTTACAATATCTTTCTATTAGTGTAACGTTTGTGGAGAACGGGCCAAAGTATTCTTATATTTCTTCAGATAATAAAGATCGTCTTCTATTCGATCAACTTCAAATTTTCATAGATCGATGTTGTCCGAATAAGGTAATTCTAAAGCAAGTTGCTCTCAAATTGCATTATATAAGACTTTATGATAATTTATGGTCTACACTTTTACAATACAAAAAAACATTCGATCGTTTCGATTTCTATGTCTCATTTAAAATTCCAAATAGAACACTGAACAATATCAATATACCATCGACAATCAATCCTATAGGCTTTCATGTTGAAGGTCATGATGATCTACTTCAGAGCCAAGATTGTTACCTACATGTCTACTCACTACCATTTGCTTTTGATAGTCTTTATGGATTTACCTCATGTTCTGAACTCAAGAGTCAATGTTCATTTTTTTCTGTTCGTCATCTTTATTTTACAGAAATTTCATTATCTCGTCCGATTTCATTTCAGTCACTCGTAAAATATATGCCACGACTTGTCTCAATCGATTGCATTTTAACTTTCAACGATTCCAACATTAATGTTTCAGAAATAATTATTGATTCAGATATTTTTCCTAATATTCATTCACTACGTTTTTCAGTAAATTTCTCCAATAATCATATCGGTTATCATGATCTTCTTTCACGTTTACTTCAGCGAATGCCATACTTGCGTAGACTCATTTCCTTCGAAGAACAATTGTGGTACGCTTTCAGCTCCAATCAACTTCCATTAGCGTCTATTAAGCTACTCGATCTACGACAATCCAATTTTAAAGCATTTGATATTTTACCACAACGTGTACCGTTTTTATCGACATTGTTACTAAATAGTATGATACCGAATGCAGAGAAAATATCGCAGATTATAAGTAATCTATTCATTAGAATTCCATCATTGCGTATCGTTTCCTATGAAATGTTTGCAATATATAGTCAAGATCCAATGCCATATGAAAAAGCAGCTGAACAAGCACACACTCTAATGCAGAAAATGAATGATTATCTTCAGCATCTTAGTTTTCACTTTGAACTAGGAACTGCAGAATTTTCTCTTTAAAATTTATATATACTATTACCATTGTTTGAATCTTATATAATGCAATTTTGTATATTTTGTAGCATGAAATAACAAAATAAACTAACTACGACTTTGTTTGTCTTCAGACAAAGGAATTACATATATAATAGCCAGAGGTGTAAGCCGAGCAGCTGAGCCGCCGCCAAGAGCCACAAAAATTTTTTAAAATCTCAGCTGTCGCCATCAACGTTAAGGATATCCAGCCATCGCCACTATGACACCAAAAAGATACTCAATTTTCGACACTCAGGATCCCTTTTCGAACATGTTCTTCTTATAAAAAAAAGCAAAAAAATCTGCTTTTAAATGTCTTTTTTTTGCGAAGCCAGAATTTCTGCCCAAGAAATTTTCGACTCGATCCCAAATTGCGACGGCATTTTGGCCCGAAGCAAAATTCATCTCACTGCTATTTATTAAAAATAGTCTAACTTCAATGAATAGTTAGCACATTTCCGTAATACCGAGCAGGATGGCATAGTGCATAGCAGTGTGATTTTAGATCACATTATAGTTATAGCATCCTGTTTAACATACGACATTTCGTTTTATTTTGACACTCGTTGTGGAGAAGTAATAGTTATCTCTTGAGACTATAACACTTCTAATATAAATCCAAGTAGACTACTCAGCACTACGAAGTGTATCAACTGGTTATCGAAATATGGCTTTTTTTAAGAGATTGATGAGATGAATTTGGGCTCGGACTGAAATTCATATAACTCGATTTTTTATGAATTAAAATTAGTTAAAATCAAATGAAATCTATCTTTAAAGCTGAAAACTAATTTTTAATCATCTTAATCAAGAAATGATCGATTTTTTCGTCATTTTTTTCTGTATGAATAAGTACTTTTTGGTATAGTAATCGAAAGTATGGCATGTGCGTCAAAGGATGGTGTAGCGTTGTGTTTACAGTTTGTTG